GCACTGTTCGCTTTCTAAGCTCTTTCATCCATCCTCCTGTGTTCTCCCTGTCTGAGTCTGACTCCAGAGTCCATGGGGAGGGGGCTCTTCCGGTTTCCAGGACAACGGGCAAGGGAGGTAGGGGACAAAAGATTAGTGTTGCCTTGGTAACCCTGGGACTGTAGGAGACCGCACATGGGGATTAGGGCTACGGGGAGGAATTAAGGGTAATAACTGTGGAATGGGGATGTTCATGGAGGAATGTGGCTCGTTATGGAGTAAGTGGGTTGAAATAATCCTTGCGCTGATATTAGGGGAGTTGGAGTGTTTTAAAGGAGTGGGTATGTTTTGATGAACAAGTTTGTAATAAGGGGATTGGGGAGCTCACTGAGAATTCAGTATGTGAATAGATAACTGGGATAGTTTGGGTAAAGTGGAAATGCAGTAGGGAAAATTGGATTGCCAAACTCATTCCACAGTTCTGCACAAAGCTCCTATCACGTGCAGGCACAGCCATATGTTGAGAATACCACGGCAAGCAGGGCAGATACAACTAAGTGGAACTGGGATCTTTGTGGCAGAGTCTGGGCGGTATAGGAATAAAGGGCTCCTGTGCCCTGTGGGAATGGTAGGGGTGAGGGGAGCCGAACCGCCTGCTTGGATTAGAGGTGAGGGTGAGAATGAAACAAGATAAAGATTGCAACATCTCACATGCCAAAGTGAAGAATTTGATCTTTATCTGACATGTTTTTGTGAAGTTAGATTTTATGCAAGAATAACATGTTTTAAGAACATCCTTCTGGCTACTGTGGGAATAGATGGTAGAGAGCAAGGATGGAAAGAGAGAGGCCAGCCAGGACATCGTTGCAGGCATCTCTACAAAAGATGTCATGATGAAAATGCTATAAAGCAGGGAGGCCATGCTAGCAGAGACAAAGAGGGCCAAGTGCATTCAGGAGATGCTTAGCGGGAGAATGAAAAAGGGCACTTTGAGAAACAAGAATCCAAAGAGAAAAGATAGACACTAATCAAATCTGTTAAAGTCGGAGGGGAACAACTTGGAAGTTAAGTGTGGATAACCCTGACTCTAATTCCAGTCCTACTAAGGTTTGTGTCTAGTTGTCCCCACAAAGCCGCATGTAAGCCACGGGGCAGACCCAGCTGGAGGAGCAGGGAGTGGCTTGAGGGGCGGGGCCAGAGAGGTGCGAACTGTTAAACTGACAGCAGGCACTGTCCCCACCCCCAGCCTGCTGGCTCTCTTGGAGGTGTGGAACAGGTCATCCTGGACTTGGCAGTGACCCAGCCCTTCCTCTAGGTCTTGCTACGTAATTCAGGCTGTTTTAAACTATGAAACCTCTAGTAATTGTGAGCTAAATAAACCTTTTCTTCCCTCATTTTGAGGGTCAGGTATTTGTCCCAGCAATGAGACAAGAGTAACTAAGACAGATGGAAACAACCTGGGGAAGAAGTGAAGTGTGGACAACTG